GATCCTGGGCTGGGATTGGCCGAGCTGACTTTTCTCTGTGTGTTACAGGAGTGAGCCACCTAGACGACATCCTGCCAGCTCTGAAGGCTTTGACAGGAACAGCACAGTGACCTGGATCAGTCAAACCTCTATTTTATAAGCTGCCCTGAAAGCATGGCTGATGCTGTTTTCACTCTGTGTGGATGATGCCAACACATTTTTACACTTTTGATACTTTACCATTGTAAACCTGGCAGGAGTAGATGAGTTAAAGGCACGACGTGATGGTGCCGTAGGAGGTGTGGTCTCTGCAAATCATGTCAGTGCTGTCAGCACTTGTGTTTGACATCTGTGCACAGCTGTAACAAAAGCAGGTCACAAATATGGGAGGAATAAAGCATTTGTCAGCAGTTTGATGTCTGTGGCGTCTTCATTTGGTTTGTGCAGCGTCCACACACAGCTCATAGATTTATGCTCCCAAGCATTGAGAAGCAAAACTGTTGCAGCTGTGATGGACGAACGCCTCACAGGAAGCTGGTTAGCATACCGTGTTACTGAGGGAAACACAAACATTTAACATTAACACTTATTGTGTTTTTCACAGATAAAGTCTTGATCAGTAGCTTTAACTGGACACTTTGCTGGTTTACCATCAGGATGGTTTATTTGTAGCTGAATCATGGTTAATCCTAATCAGAATATAATCAAACTCATGAACATGTGAACTCATGTAGTCTGAGTAATGGAAAGGATTTGTAGGCCTGCCCTTTTTACCCTGACTCCCAGGAGCATTGTTATCACTGCTGTGAGAGCGCAGCAGATAGTGTTGTATGTGAGAAGCCCCGACTTTACCATGTACGACTGAAACGGAGATTTTAGATTATGTTGTGATGAAGAGTCGTGAAGAGAAAAGGTAACCCTGTGAAACAAGGAGGAGATGTCATATTCATGTGAGACTGATTCAAGAAGAAGTAAACTAATGATGAACTCTGAGTCTTTCTACAATAACATTAATTCCACTAAGGAAGACTCAAACCTTTGGAGTAATCAATGATAGAGGGA